GCAGGAGAGATTATCCCACAGCCCTCAGATTGGCTCCTTTCCAGTCCTCTGGCACTTCAGCTACTATTACCAGGGCAAGGGTTTAGCATTGCAGTGAGGACAGCTAATGTATTTTAATCTCCATCTGCATTGCTCACTATTTACTTTCCCGGCACACACACCCCAGAGTGGACAGTTACTCAGCCAGGATTATGCAAAAGTTTATAGGGCTTTAATTAGCTTCATCTTCTTGCAGCTCTGCTGAAGGAGTACTTTTTGAGCTCTTGAGTCACCAAATGGATTTTCTCTCTTACTCAGTGAAAACACGCCGTGTATCTGTACAAACACAGGCTGTGTAATTGGTCATTCCAGGAGAAGGACACTTCCCAAGTTCTCCACCCATGGAGCTCCACAGTGGAGCTGTCAGGATGGGGAACAGGCAGGAGCAGCACGCTCCTGGCACCTGATTCCTGGGCTCCCTTGTCCAGTAGTGAGGGACTTGTGAGCCAGAGGTGAGGGCAGGATGTTGAAATCCATCTCTCCTCTGTCCCTCCCACAGCCCTTCCCAAACGGACCAGCCTTTGTCAAGATCCAGCAGAGCATGGGCCTGGGAGAGCCAACCCAGATGATCCCAGACTCAGAGAACTGAGCAGCACTTCCACCAGCTTTGACATGTTACATGTCAAAGAGCATTGCAGGAAGCATCTACCAAATATCCCCACACTGGCAACAGAAACTGGAAATGAAATTGTCGTGTATTTGGACATGTCTGATGAAATTCAGGCAGACATTTCTCTGAAGGACAGTGCTGTTTGCTGCCTTATCAGAGTGGTAAATGACTAGTTTCCATTTGTCTTCTTTTGTAACGGGGGCCATAACCAAATTTATCCAACTCCTCAGAGAAGAAAATTAAAACACATAAAGCTCTTTAGCCAACACTTGCCAGCTTAAATCAATTACAGCTATTTTCAAAGCTATTAAGATTTTAAAAAATGATCAGCAGTAAAGGAAAGTAATTCTGTATGAAGAAATAGTTGGATAAAGCAAACCATCAGGAATTGTTTAGTTGTTATGAGCAGAAGCAAAGGAAGCAAAGTCAACGTTTATGCAGTGGTGTGACACATGGAATTGTGAATCTACAGGAGGCAGGGAGGTGCAAGTGGCTTGCTGGACAGCTCCAGCTTTACATCCAACAATTCACATTTGCACTTTAAGGGAGAGCAGACTACATTTGGGATTAAAACTGGTGTAGATGAAAAGAAATAAAGACGTGGATGTGATGAAGATCTGATCTATCTCTTTCAATTTATAGACACGCTGTGGAAGAAGAAATTCCCGCAGAAATGTCTTTTACTGGATAAATTTTTAATCTAAAGTAAGTCAGCTTTCCTCCTAAGTCTCCTTTTTGGGTTTGCAGTGCTTCAAACCTAAAAGTGAGATAAACTAAAAAGGAACAGATTCAGCAGTGTGTGCAGCCTGTTGTTACCACCCACATTTCCTCACCTCCTCCTCTCCCCAAAAATAAAATCTGCAGAACCATTAAAAGAACCTCTAAATGTGCAAGTGTTTGCTCTAATATAGTATTTTTTAAATATTTGCTTTACTAATATATGGGTTAAAATTAAAATAAAACAGAAAACAGCAAAACGCTTCCTTAAAAAGTTCATATTATCCACTACCCTGTTTTTCTCATGGTGAATCCCTCAGATCAGCACATCACCAGCAGGATCCCACAGCAGTCCCTGACACAAAGAAAGCTGATTGCCAAATTCAAAGCAAGGAAGAGTTTGCCTGAGAGGAAAATACTTCCCTCAGGCGCTCATGGAGAGTGAGAGGAATGGCAGTGCAGCACACTCCATCTAAGCTAATAAATCAAGCAGTGCAAAGGTCTGTTTTAAGTACTTAATCATTTACACTGTTAAATTTTTAGAATGTTTCCTGGCCACGCTTGTGCCCCAAGCAATCATAGCGGTATCTCCAACAGTTCCTAGGAATGATCTGGGAGTTCAGCTGCACCATGGACCATCTCACTGGGCACTTTGCACAGCATCTCCCTATTTTAGAAGCTGAAGGAGCTTAATCACAAGTTTAGAGGACTTAATCATTATTTCTCCTCTGCTCGGAAGAGAATAATAATATGTAAGCAGATGCCTTTTATGACCAAAAGCAAAAGCTGTTTTCTCGCTGGCTGAAGGCAGCTCTGAATATCATCACTGAAGTGTTTCATGGCAAAAGGACCAGTCAGATGCACCAGCACACAACTTCCTCCCTCAAACATCCAGTAATTGCCTCGAGATGGTTAGAGATTTAAACCTGCCAAAGTCCTAGCCCAGCAAAGGCTTCTCCTGATGAGTGAGATGTTTACGCTGCATTAATTCACAACAGGGCTGAATTCTGGCAGTCTCAGACCAGGAATATTATTTAACTTGTCACCACTGGCTGATACACTCACACTGCCCGGGCTGTTTTAACAACTTCAGGAGAACATGTGAATTATAGTGAGCTTTGCTTTTGGTTTTGATGAATAATTCCCCCCCTCCAAATTATGTGAATTTAGCAAGGACTTTATATCAAAATGTCAAAAAGATTAATTTAGTTTAGAGTTTGTTTGGTTTCCACGTTAAAGTAAATGTATTTTGCAGCGTATCATATGTAGAGAACCCCTTTAAGAGAACATAAATCTCAGTGCAAGTCTTCACCCTTCTGCTGACCAGCCCTGTGAAATCTGTCAGGTCATTTTCACCAGCATTTCCATGTGGCAGATCTAATTCTGTGCTAGAAAATTGCCTCATCTCGTGGGCGTTGCAAAGCTGCAGTTCCCATAAAACACAACCGCTTGGCTGCTGTGAAAACTTAAACTCCCTTAATTGGGTAAGGGCCTTCTCCCACGAGCAGCTATTCCTTTTCTGAAAATCCACAAATGTGAATAAAGTCGTTGACTTCGAGTCCACTTTCGAGTGTTTTCAAGTTAAACAAGAACTCAAGAGCTTTGGATTCGAGCCAGAGTTTCGAAGCGTTGCTCTTGAGCTCCTCGGTGCAAAGTTTCACGCAGCTGTAAAGCAGAGATGCGGATTCACCAACACCATTCACGGATGAAAGCACTCCCCAAAAGAGCAGCAAAAGCTTTTGCTGCAGCTGGAGCAGCCGGAGCTGTTCTGGAGGTGAGGCTGAAGATCAAATTCCAACAGGTTATTTCCCTAACAGGTGTACACATGAATCCCTGAGATTCCCCAAGTATCACACATCCAAATAAGCTCCTCTATAAGAGCAAATGGAATATATTCAGAGCACACACACGTCTCTCAGACTAACCACACTTTAGGGAAACTTGACATATTGATTATTAATTTGTGTTTTTTAGTTCTTTTTTCTTTCTTTTGAGGCAGCAGCTTTGTTTTAACGCAGCAACATAACGACCAAAACTTACAGAAATAATTCAAATGCAAAGTTGTAGCGGAACTGGAAAACTGTCCACAGATTATACCCACAGAGAAAGCACATGCCCATTTTTTGATTCATTGAGAAAGAATTGGTCTGGCTAAATACTCAGTACCTAAGTACTTTTGACAACCTCATTGGCAAGTCTCCCTCTCTAAACGCAAACTGAGATATTTTTATGGACCAAAGTAAGCCAATAAGGGAAAGCACTGCCTGGAAGAGGAAAAGGACTATGGAACAAAGTTTAGGAAAAAATGGTTGGGATTTAAATCATCAATGTGTAAATGCCACTGTGATCCCATGTGCACTGATCTCTAGCTAGAAAAAAAAAACAAAACACACTGGCAAGTATTCTCCGTCTTCTAAGAAAGCTACCACAAAGATTTTAAGATTAAATTGTTGCTCTTCAGATTAAATTGCTGCTTCGCTTTGAAGCCTGCTGCCTTTCCTGACCTGGCTTTTCTCTCTCTTTCTTTGTCAATTAGAGGGGAGGAAAACAAATAAAACCACAAACAAACAAAACCCCCAAACAAACCAAACCTAAATCAAAACAAAATTGAAGATAATTCAGGAAACAGAACAGATTTTATTTCTTTATCCAAGGAAATGTTAAAGACAGGCCAATTACTCTGTGGTTCAGAAGGGCCACTGTCACATTTTTTAACGCTGTGGGAACAGCCTTTACAAATCCCGCACAGGATCAGTGTTCCTCCTGCTTGATCCCTCACGTTTGCCTTGCAAGTCTGGCTTAACACACTTGAAACTATCGCTCAAAGCAAACAAGCCACCAAAGCACTCAGCCTGACTTAAGGGTGTGGGCTGGGAAAGCTGTTTTAAAAGTCCAGCCTGACACAGGCCAATCTCATCTCCAGCTCATCCCAGCATCACCCAGAGGGACGCTTGCCATGAAGAAGGACCACACAGGAAAGCTATCCGTGCATTTCGCTCGAGAGAAACTCGCGGCAAACGGCTTGGATGGATGCGTGGGCTGAGCCCTGCCCTTCGTCACCCCAGCTGCTGGTCCCTGCCTGAGCACATGCTGCGAGAGGCACCAGGGCGAGAGGTCGGGGACCACGGGCATCAGCCAGGGAACGGGGAGGTGGAGGGAAAACCCCTCCCCTCCGGGGAAGGGAGCGGGATCCCTGTGCTGGGACTTCTCCTGGCGACGAAAGCGGACAGGGAAGCGGCTGCTCCACGGGGAAAGGGGCACTAAGAAGGGCCGTGGTTGAACCCCGGGGGCTCTGAGCGGACCCAGAGCCGAGCGCCCGCGGGCAGAGGGTGTTCCTGCGCCCCTTCCCGAGCGCACCTGTGATGGAGCAGGGAATGGCCAGCGGGACGGGCCCCTGGGGCACCCGGGACGGGCAGCTCCTGGCCGGGGAGCCCGTCCGGGGTCTCTCCGAGCCCGGGCACCGCAGCACCCGCGGGGCAGCGTGTGAGTCTCCCGACGGACCCCGGAGCGCCCGGGGCAGCCCCGCTGTGTTCCCCGCGGTCGTGGGGCGTCCCCCTCCCTTCCTTCCCTCCCTCCTTCCCTGCCCCTGCCCCTGCCCCCTGCCCCCCGCCCCTTTCCCGTGCTCGGCACTTACGGGCAGGAGCAGGAGCGCGGCGGCGGCCGCTGCCGGGAGGCTGCGCTGCGGTGCCCGCCCGGCCATGGGGGGCTCGGGGGTGTCCCCGGGGCTCAGCCGGAGCCTCGGAGATGTCCCGGCGCTGCCATCTCGCCCCGTCTGCTGCCCTTGACCCCTGCCCGCCGCCCAGGAGCAGAGCCCGGCGCCGCCGGCGCGTCCCAGGGCAAACCCCCGGGAGGGAGGGAGAGAGGGAGGGAGGGAGGGAAGGAAGGAGGGAGAGAGGGGGGGAGCCGAGCCCGCCCTCCGCCTAGGATGCCTCGGGGATGGAGGCGGCGGGGGGCACCCCCGGGGGAGGGCGACCCTCACAGCCTCCAGGAGCGAGGGGGACCTTCCTCTCGCCCTGCACGGAGCGCAAGGATTCCCCTCTCCGTCAGGCACTGGGTGCAAGGAGAACTTCACTGCCCACAGCCCTCCAGAAGGGTGGGGTGACCCCCTCCCCAAGCACTAAGTGCAGTGGGGATCCTTTTCCCCGAGCAGTAAATGCAATGGGGATGCCTTCCACACAAGCCTCCTCCACCCTCGTCTATCTCAGGATAGATTCCACTGCCTCAAACTTTCCAGGCACAGGAGGATTCCCCCTGCCCAGGCTCTGGGTGCAGTGGGGACCTCTTTACAAAATTAAGTGAAATGCAGATGCCCCGTGCAATCCTCTAGAAGAATTAAAAATCCCTTCAAAACCACCCAATCCTGCCAGGCATTGGGTAAAATGTTAACTGCATTGCCCAAAAACTTTCAGGACCAACAGATTTCCCCCCCTGCTCAGGCATGAAGTGCGATGTGCATAAAGTGCATTAAAGGCAGCTCATAAAAAAGAGGAAGAGCAACTTTTTACTTGGGCAGATAGTGATAGGACAAGGGGGAAGGGTTTTAAACTAAAAGTGAATAAATTTAGATTAGATATCAGGAAGAAATTCTCCCCTGTGAGGGTGGGCAGGCCCTGGCACAGGTTGCCCAGAGAAGCTGTGGCTGCCCCATCCCTGGAAGTGTCCAAGGCCAGGTTGGATGGGGCTTGGAGCAACCTGGGATACTTGAGGGTGTCCCTGTCCATGGGAGGGAAGTGAAACAAGATGATCTTTAAAGTCCCTTCCAACCCAAGTATTTCTATGATTCTTTGACCCCCTACAGGTCTGTTAAGGAAAGGGAGAATCCTCCCTGACACTGTGCAACGTGAACCACCTGCTGATCCTCCAGCAGCAACGAGACATCCCCCAAGCCCAAGATGCACCTCCAAGGTGTGATGAGGACCTCCACCTCCAAGACAATGAGCAGCAAGACTCCCAGCTTCCTGTGTACCCCGGGGCAAAAAGGTTCCAGTTTCTCGGTCACCAAAATCATCGGCACACCTTTCCCAAAATCTCCAAGCCTGTGGGGCATCTCCTTTGCTATCCCCCAGCTGCAGTGGGAAGTCCTTTTCTCCCCAGCATTGAGTCTTTTAAGATTCCCCAGCAGCACGTACACCCTTCTAGCCAGGCAACCCAAAAAACTGCCTGTGTGGCTGTTCCTGGTGCACTTGGTCTCTGAAACAAGAGCCATTTGTCCTGCTCTTCTCATCTACCAATACTTGCCAGAATAGACCTCTGCAAATAAAGGCAAAACGAGGTCACCCCACGTCTTCATGCCCACTTGCCCAAGGGGCTTCTGGCCCTCTGGTTGCTCCAGGGTGGCTCTTGGTGCTAAGGGAATTGGAGCCTTACAGATTTGGATGCCTGACCCTGTTGGGGCCCATGAGTTCCTGGGTCTAATCACTCCATGATCCATCCAGCGAGGCCTCTCCATACAATGGATGTGTCTGTGGAATCATCAGCCTGTGGGCACCAGGCCAAGCCCTGCTCTTCCCAGTGCCAGCAATGGGCCTAATAAGATTATTTTCTCCTCTGCTCCATCCCATCTGCCCAGAGGAGGGCCAGCTGTGTGTGAATCACAGTCAATGCCTTCCCCCAGCCGCAGCTGGGACTGTCCCCAAAAGCCCATCCGTGTCCTGAGACACACAGCCCTCAGCCACAATCCTGGAGCAGGAGCAGTCATGGCCTGCTCCTTCCCAGCCCAGCTGCTGGATTTCCACAGGGAACAGTGTCGTACACTGCCTTTGTAGGCATCTATTGCCAGCTGTTTCCTTTCAGGGAGATGGTGTCTTTTCCTCCACAAAGTAATGCCTTTCCACCATCCTCCTCATTTGGCTTTTTTTTAATCAAAATCAGTTGGCATACAGGTAATAGTGGCACATAGGAAAGAGTTCCAGCAAATTCTCAGAGTTTACAAAAGCTTAGCAAGCCCTGTTCAGAAGCAGAAATACCTGGACATCTTTCTTTGAGGCCTTGCTGAATTATTTTACTTTTTGCCATTAGCTCAGAAAGGCACTAAGCTTCCGACCATCTCCAAAACACCTTTAAGAAGGATTACCTTCCTGATCCCATGCAGGAATCCCATTTAGTACAGCAAGGAGATGGGCATTTACACACACTAGAAAACACGAAATCCTCCACTGGCCAAAGTTTTCACAAAGCAGCATTATTTTCCTTTTTCCTCTGGTTATTCAACAGTTTGAATATATTTAAATATTTAAGCTTGCCCAGTTTTTCCTCTCCTGTCTGTTGCGCACCAACATTTGTTTCCTTTCATTATTAAAAGAAAACAAACCCATATCCCAAAAGTTGCATGCTTCCAATTAATATTGGGTTTGTTCATGAAAATGCAAAAGGAGGAATAAATCCAGCACAATTTTTTTATTCCATTTAAACATCCACCTCCGGGACTGGAAACTCACACGCAACAGGATTATGTGAACTCATGAGAATTGGGAGAGGGAGCCTGGAGCTGCCTGTGCACAGACATTGGTCAAGTGCCCTGGAAGCAGGATGGTTTTCCAGCATGTGGCTCCACGACTTTCTGTTATGATTTATCCGTGTTTATTGGGCTATCCAGAACCAGAGCCTCATAATCTTAAAAGCTGTATTGAAACAGAGAAAAACAACCCCGAATTGTGACTATCTAAGGATTAAACAAATCATTCCTGCAGTCTCATACCCAGGGCTTTTTCCCTCGCAGCTGGTTGCAAAGTCCAACCAAAGCTTTTTGTTGATTGGGTTGCTTATAAGGTCACTTCCCTTCAGATCCTCTTGAAGATTTAAGGGCTGAGCTTGTCCTGCAGCTTTTCCTTCAGTCGTGGTGCTCCTGGGGATTCTCCCAGTCATCTCCTTTTATAAAACCTGTAGGGTCATTCATCCTACAGGCCTGGCTTTATGGGTGAAACTGGTCAAGGTTAACATGGAACCAGAGGAGTACAGATACACACAGCCCCACGAGGGTGGGTATGGCACATGAAATGTAACCCTTGCTCTTTTAGGAAACACACTGAGACCCATGAGAGCAACATGCAGAGATTCAGGAATGCAGGAGAAGACAATCCTGATCAGTTGGATGGAGCAAGTCTCCATATGGGATCACGGCATGGATCCAGCTGTTCAGTTCTTGCCCAAATGACTTTCAGATATGGCTTGCAGTCATGCCCATACAAGGATGACTCCCCCTTGCTTGTTTGGTAGTGCTTTTATTTTCTCCTTCTTTAAAGCTCCTGAAATAATTTATATCTTCATTTTTGAGCCCATGAGTATTCCCACTGCTCTCAGTGATGACACTGCACAAAGCATCCTCGCTGGAGGAAGGACAAGGACAACTCCTGGTGTAACAGCTAACACGGTGAGGTCCTTGTTGTGTCCATAACCTTGAGGAATTTACAGAATACAACTAAAGTAACTTGAAAACCAGTTCCAGTAATAACCACAAACGTCACACAAGACATGAGTAACCAAAGGGTAGAACTGGACTGAATCAGGCACCAATTTTGTCTCTCTGAAATATTGGATGACGTCTCAGAGGGATGAGGTGTCTCTCACTTAAAGAGAACCAGCAGAAAATACCAAATACCTCCCTCTGTGTAAGGTCCAGAGCCCTCTCCCATGGGTCCCCATTTGGGGACAGACTGGGTCCCCATTGGGGACCCTTGAATAGATTTTTTAGGTCTCTCATGCAGGAGATGAGTAAATCCAATTTTAAATATGTATCAGATGTTTTATTCATCCAATTAATTAATAAAGTTAAACTCCTTCCAGAGATGTGACAGCTCAGAACAGCTACAAGTCTCTGAAAGGGTTGTGCTGCCCTGTCCCCTTTTGACTGCATTGGTTTCAGCTCAGTTTCTGAGAGGCAGGTGAATTGGTCTGGGTATGCCAGATCTGAAAAAGGTCAGGCTGAGAAAAGGAATAGGAGGAGTCCCCCCACTGCTTCTTGCAGAATGAATGAATGCCATGATGACATTTGAAACCAGAATAATGTCTGCAAAGGGAGGAAAGTTAGCTGGAGGCTTCTTATTAATAATGAATGTAATGGTTTCCTGAAATAATGATGGGTCAGAGTTGGTAACGAGCACAGCTCAGGAAAACAGAAATTGCTCTGATAAAGCAAAGGCATGTAGCTTCTTCCTCTTCAGTAGCTCTGTACTTGCAACTGCACTTGAATAAGGAATGTAAGAAGGATGGAGGGAAAAAATGGTGATATTTAAGGAAAGTTCCATTGTTTCAAACGGCTCCTAATTGTGAAGTCTCTGGGGTGTAGTATAAACCTTGGGAGAGGGGAGAGAGAAGGAAAATGAGGTGGAAGCATCACCCCTCAGGCATAAAATAGATTTTCTGGCTTTCTTCACCGTGGAACTCATGTGGATGCTGCATTCTCATGGATTAACACGGGGCTTTTCCTTGGGACAGCGTGCCCAGCTTGGCGTTCTGCACATCCTATTGTCAAGGAGATGCAACCAGCTCCTCACTTCCCAGGAGCCCCACAAACCTCAGCTACCACCGAGCCCATGTGGGCTGGGAGAATTGTGCTGGTGGCTGCAGGCACTGACAGATGTTCCTCTTTCCCCAGCCAGATGTGGGACAACAAAGCTGCCACAGCTGGGGATGCTGATATGAGTGCTTTGCAGTCAGACTTTCAGGTGCCTTGCTCCGGGCCCTGAAGGACAACTGGCAGCCTGGATAACATTCTTCTGAGGGGATCCCAAAGT